TTAGTTCCCAAAGTATATTCCACCACTGGGTGTTCTATGAAAGAAAATATTTTGTGGGCAAATAAATTTAGGAGGCATTCAGTTAAAAAAGAAAAGTAGATGTTCCATTATGCAGGACTTATCAGTGCCTCTAATGTGCTGATATGTTTGGTGTACGTCTGGTGAGGAACTTGGAAAGTCATATTTCTCAAACTCATCTGCCTGCAGAGATATTTATTCATTTGGCCAGGTACTCAGCCCTGAAAGTTGAGGTGTCTGGACTTGGGGGGTGGGGGCGGAGGCCTCCATATTCTCAGTATCTTGGAGCAGGGTTCCACAAACTTTACTGTGCGTGTGTTAATGCAGAGTGTGCATGTCTAACAAGCTCCCAGGTGATGCCAGCAACGTGGTCCACAGATCGTACGTTGAGAGGGAAGGTCGTAGAGGATCACCTTCCTCAGTCGGCTAGTCCCCAAGGGGGATGCGGTGACGGTTCAGACCAGAGTGGGCAGTTATAGCTCTATCAGCGCCATTATTAGTGGTCACACCCCCCCCCCCCCCCCCCCCCCCCCCCCCCCCCCCCCGCCAATTCCATTACTACAGTCAGAACCCTAGTTTCTCATGAGTTACAATTGCCTTCCTGTCTGGAGCCTGGAAAGGGCCAGGGAACAGTGGAAATCCAAAAACGCAATCAGTAATAGGACGGAGAAGAAGGGTCCTGGGGGCCACCTCTGAATGAAATAACAGGCAGTGACTGTCCCCAAACCCTGTGAAGGAGCGCATGGCTGCGGATGGTCAGGCAGGTTTGCCCAGAGGGGGTGTGCAAGTGTGTGTGTGCACACGGGTGCGTGTGGGTGCACATGTGTGAAATACCGCTTTCAAAACCGGCGAATCATCTTAATTAGCTCGAACAGTCCTCCGATCCCTTATTTAGAGCGGAATGTGGAGCCCAAGCCCTGCTTTCCTAGAACGTGGGGACGGAGGGGACGAAAATAAACTTTGGTTTCACTGTGGCTGAGCAGTGAAGGGAGGGGTCCGGGCTTCCAGCCGTGGCTGCCGTTGGCTCCACTGGAGAGTGACGGCTCACGGGGTCACCCACCCCAGGGGATACCTGCCCCGCACCCTGCCTTCTGAGCCCCACTTCTGAGCCTTTGAAAGGCCCTTCCCCAAAAGGCCCGACTTTTTTAAGAGTCTGGGTTTGGAGTGATGGAGCACTGGGTTTGGATCCCAGCTCTGCCACTGACCGGCTCTGTGGCCTTGGACGAACATCGCGACCTCTCTGAATCTGTTCGGTCTTCGGTAAAATGAAGGTGATATCAGCTGCTTCCCACACCCTTGGGGTGCTTGTAAGAATGAGACGAGGTCATGCATGTAAAGTATAGGAGCACAGGCACTCCATCCGTGGTAGCTTTTTTTTTTTTTTTTTGGCTTATCCAAGAGTTTAACGAGTTAGAATTTATTTGCTTTTTTTCCCCCCAAAAGCATGTTTGTTTTCTGGGCACGAGCACTTTCGGATGCTTAACCATTGAGAGCACAGCTCTGGCTGGCTTTCTCTAAACACCCCGAGGGGGAAGGGAGGGCTGTTTCCAGAGGCTGAGACATGTCCAGGGCTGCGTGTCCAGGGGACCCTGGGACAGTACTAAATTCCAGGTTGACTTCCCTGGAGTCCTGAGTATGAGCAAAGTGGTTTCTTAAAGAACAGTGCCTTGGGGACGAAATTCCTTTAGAACCAGCGTATTGAAGCAGGAAACAGGAAGCCTAAAAATGTCCCACGTCTTAAAGCAGATTGGCCTCTGTTGGCCCCTCTGGCCGTCTTGCTCGGGCCTTACCTCATAGGGGGTATTGAGGCTCCACCATGAGCAAGCTGGAGAGTCCCTGAACTGTGTCCCAGGGAGACGAAGGACTCTGGCCTCCCCCAGGAAGGTGCTTTCTGCCGCTCTAATGCTCCATCCCAGGGGAGGAGGGTCTGGTGACCAGACATTGATACCTGGTGGAGGACTGACAGAGAGCGCACCTGCTCCATGATAGGAAAGAAGCTGTTCGTGATAAGAAGCTCCTTGCTGGGTCTTTAATCTATCACTTAGTTCTTCCCACACACTCCAAGCTAGAGAGCATGAGGTCCCAGAGCAGGGAGGTGACTTGATGGGTCACACATCAAGATGGGGTCTGAACTCAGCTCCCCTGGGTCTGAGTTCTAGAGCGTATTTCCACTGCTCCTCTCCCCAGGCTCCCCAAGCTCCTCCCTCCTCGCCTCTGCTCCTAAAGGCACACAGAACGGCTACCCCTTCTGACACCTCTGACATTATTCGGTTTGTACTGCGTGCTGCTTCCTGTGACAGTCCCCATCCCCCTGGGATAAACCGAGGGTGGGGGGAGCTTTTTAAATGTCTCTTAATGCATTTGATTCTCTGGGTAACATTGAGTACCTTGTTCCTTTCCCCTCTGGTGAAAGGCAGTGGCATCTGGCTTCTGGACTTATCTCCTATGCTTGCTGAAAGATCACTATATTTCCTCTTCCCATGAACACATCTGACCCTCCTAGTGGCTCAGATAATAGGTGGTCCCCAGTGGCTGCTTTCTCTAGGGTACTTCTGGTCCCCAAAAGGGGAGGGCCTTGCACTGGCTCAGTGCTATGCAAATGCTCCTGAAATTGTCCCAAAGTACTCTAGAGAGAGAGGTGACTTTCTCTGTTCACTCTTGTTAACAAAAGATTTATAGGTTGTACAGTAGAATGGATGCACTGGAAAGTTCACTGTAGTAACACGGGGTAGAGATGGCTAGCCGCCCAGCCAATACCCATACTCCCCTGCTTCCTCAGCAAAAGAACCCTAATCACTGAGGACAGTGGTGTGGCCAACTATAAGAGTATTTTCCTCAACATCCCTTGTAGGTATGTGACTAAACGCTGGCCGCTGAGATGCAGATAGAAGTTGTTGAGAGATTCTTCCAGAAGGTCTTAAAGAATGATCCTTGAGGAACGTCTTTTTTTTTTTTTTCCCCCTTTCCAAGCTTCTTCCTGGAGCAAAGACGTGATGGCAGGAGCATGAGACTACTTTAGATCATGAGGTGTTTGTAATCACAAAATACTGGAAGCAATCCAGGGGCGCCTGGGTGGCTCTGTCGGTTGAGCGTCCGACTCTCGATTTCGGCGCAAGTCATGATCTCACAGTTCTCAAGGTCGAACCCCACGCCTGGCTCTGCACTGAACATGGAGCCTGCTTTGGATTCTCTCTCTCCCCCTCTTTATGCCCCTCCCCCATTCATGCGCGCTCTCTCTCTCTCGCTCTCTCTCTCCAGAAATAATAGATAGATAGATAGATAGATAGATATTAGAAACAATCTAAATATACACATTTAGGAGATCGGTTGAATAATTGTGGTGCTATCCACCCCATGGAGCTCTATTCGGGGGTTATTTCCATGACCTATTGCTCAAGCAGGATGCTACTTTTTGTGTAGGAAAGGAGGGGGGAAAGAAAATATTTGTTCATAGGGAAAACCAACTACTAGAAGGAAAGAACAGAAAATGAGACTGGTTAGAAGGAAGTGCCTGGGAATGAGGTTGAGGAAAGAAAGGATGGGTGGAAGTAAAGCCTCTCTAATATAGTTCTTGGTATCATTCTGACTTAGGGAATCATGATAGCATCTCATGCACTCAAAAAAAAAAAAAAGAGGAACTGGGCCAACTGGGTGGCTTAGTCACTTAAGCGTCTGACTTCAGCTCAGGTCATGATCTCATGGTCCATGGATTTGGGCCCCACATCGGGCTGTGGGCTGACAAGTCAGAGCCTGGAACCTGCTTCGGATTCTGGGTCTCTCTCTCTCTCTCTGCCCCTCCCTTGCTCATACTCTGTCTCTCTCCCTCTCCCTCTCTCAAAAATAAATAAAATTTTTTTTAAAAAAGGACTAAAATCATTAAGGTTGGGGGAAAATCTTAAAATGAGATACAAGTGAAAACAAATGAACTGAAATGTATGTCAAATGAAACATGCAACCACGCTGAGATGAAGGGGCAGGGGGAGCAGACCCCTGTGATTTTGGGACACAGCATTTTGGTGACAGACAAAAGGGCTCAACATGAATCTTTAGCTCTTGAGAGCTGGCTACTGTTTTGTACCCGTATAGGTTGGCCATTCTGAAAATACATGCTGTGTATTCTGGGATTGAGCAAATAAGGAAGTAAACTGTGCATAGTGGGAGTCAGGTTTCTTGCTAACAGAGATGAGGGTTACGTGTATGGAAAGCAAAGTATCTAATGAACTCTTCAGTGTTGGATTGGAATTGGAGGTATCAATTTATACATATATATATGTATATAAATACATATAGAGTATAAATTACATATGTACTTGAAGAAATACACATATGTTGTATGTGTACTTGTACAAATTGTAAATATGTACTGTAGAATACATAAATATGTTTATATGTAGATATTTATGTTTACATTGATGTTACTTGCATAAATATAGATATATATCTATATAGTTATAAATATACACTGTAAATATACATATGTGTATAAATATAGACATACTCCTATATTTATATAAGTATTTATCTTATACTTACACGTCTATATTGAGATGAGACAGAGAGAGAAATATGGTAAAATGTTTACATTTGGGGCACTTGGGTGAAGGGTTTATGGGAATCCATTACACAAATCTTGCAGTTTTTCTGTACGTTGAGAAGTATGTCGACATAAAAACCTTAAAAGAAACCAAAGTGGAAGGCTTGTTAGAGTTGACCTTTTGCCAGGTCAAAGCCGGGCAAATGGGTTTCCTGAACTCCTTCTCATTCATCTACGGGACAGGTCTTTGACATGGGTACAGGGAGAAGGGAAAGAGGAGGCGGAGGTACCCTCTGTGAGAATATGACGGCTGGCGTGGTAGATAGGAAGCATCTCTTGGCCCCTGTGAGGGTCAAAGGCAGGGGCTGGCCCAGCCTTGGAGAGCACTCTAGTCTGCTGTCTTCCTCACTTACCCACTGCTCCTTCTGTCTTCCCTAAACACGCGCAGGAAGACTTTTTCAGTAATATGACCTCCCCACCACCATTTATCCTCTCCTTGTATCTTGGATGGGGCGAATTCTCTCGTACGCCTATTGTGCTCCAAAATGTCGCTTCTCAAGAGTTTCCACAGTAATTCTACAATGGATTCTGAAGTCAACAGTAATTCACAGTGGCCAAGGAAGGACGAGAATGCGCCTCTTCCCTCCTCTGCCATCCTTCCCCTAAGTATTAGTTGGTAAGTATGTGTCAGAGCGCCTGCCGGTGACGCATAACTGATGAGCAGTTTGGCAACAGGGCCAGGCAGAGAACTGGGTTCGGAACTTCACTCTGCCCCTTACACTTCAGTCCTCCGCCTGCAGAGAGGGCATGATGATAGCTTTGACCTTAGTGAGTGGCTTTGAGGATCGAACGAGATAAGCATGTAGATGCTTATCATAGCGCTCAACAAATGTTAGATAGCACTTGTCACCATAGCAGAGTGCGTGGTCGTGATTTTGTGCAGCAGTCCAAAGGATGAAACACTGAGAGGGCCACATTGCTTTCCCCAACCGGGACCCATCTTGCCTGGAATTGTATTGAACCTGTGAGTGTGTTTGATAGCTTGGGGGGCCCGTCTGATAGAGACACGGGTTTCCTCCACTTGGTGACAAGCTTTTCCCAGCGTTCCCACAGTATACAAGCCAGGGGTCCCTGACCTGGTCCTGGGGAGTGTCATGGAAGCCTCCATCTTCCCTGCACACAGAACCGCATCGCTGCACTCTAATTTCTGGAAATCATCTTCTCCCATCGCCTTTCTTCAGTTGGTGTTAGGCAGTAGGAGTTTGCTGGTGTGGGAGGGAAAATCATCCGCTTTTTGAGGGGGAAACGGCACCAGACTTTTATAAGCCCCATGGGAGTCTTCCTTCAAATACCGTCCGGTGGAATCCTGTTCCTGTGGTAAGGATATGGGGACAACTCAGGCAGCTTGCCATGTAAGAAAGTTCCAGAAGATAATTATTTGAAGTTACAGCAGCTTTTTATTCTTGTGGGGAGGTAAAATTATATGTATTTTCAGCAGGGCTTCTTGTGCCAAAACTTGGAACAAAAATTCACTCTCCGTTACCAGTCTTAGAGGAAAATATTCACAGCTCTTTATGTCACATCAATTTCCTCCTTCTTCTTGTTTTTGCTTATTTGTGTGTGTGCACACACACGCATGCACACAGATGCCTGTCTGAACTTTTTGGGGAGTGCCTGTAAGTAGTATGTTTATGTGCTGGCCAGTGGAGCATATCCAATGACTTTCTTGAGGTATAACTCACATGAATTGTAATTCACGTATTTAAACTATACAGTGTTCAGTTGTACTCACAGAGTTGGGCAGTTATCACTACCGTCAATTTCAGAACACATTCGTCACTCCAAAAAGGAACCTTGTCCCCATTAGCAGTCACTCTGTATTTCTTCCCAGCTGGGACAATCCTAGGAAATCAGTTTCTGTTTCTATAGATGTGCTATCCTGAACATTTCACATAAATGGGACCATGCAGTGTGTAATCTTCTATGGCTGCCTTCTATCACTTAGCACCATTTTCCAGGTTCATCCAACTGCAGCACATGCAAGTCCTTCATTCCTTTTAATGGTTAAATATGATTCCATTGTATGGATAGGTCGCATGTTGTTTATCCATTCATCAGGTGATGGACATTTGGGTTGTTTCCACTTTGGGGCTGTTATGAATAATACTGCTTGTAGAGATTCATGTACAAGTTTTTGTGTGGATGTGCGTTTTCATTTCTCTTGAGTCTATAACTAGGAGTGGAATTTTGGGTCATCTAAAGACTATGTTTAACTTGTTGGATAACTGTCAATCTGCTTTTCCAACGGGTCACACCTTGTTACATTCCCACCAACAGTGTATGAATGTTACAGCTTCTCCACGTCCTCACCAACACTTGTTATTATTCAACTCTTTGATCAGAGCTGTCCTCATGGGCATGAAGTGGCATCTCCTTGTGGATCTGATGTGCCATTTGTCTGATCACCAGTCATCGTTGAGCATCTTTTCATGTGGTTATTGGCCACTTATGTATCATCTTGGGAGAAATGTCTATTCAGAGGCTTTGCCCATTTTTAAGTTGGGTTATCTTTATTATTGTGTTGTAATAGGTTTTTAAAATATTTTCTAGATACAATTCCCTTATCAAATATATAATTTGCAAATATTAAACCCCCTCCACTCTATGGGTTCTCTATGTACTTTCTTGATGGTGTCCTTTGGAGCACAGTGTTACATTCTGATGGAGTCAAATTTATCTATTTTTTTCTTTTGTTACTTGTGTTTGTGCAGTCATGTCTAAGAAGGCGCTTCCATACCCAAAGTCGTGAAGATTTATGTCTGTATTTTCTTCTAAGGATTGTATAGTTCTAGCTCTTACAGTTAAGTCTATGTTACATTTTGTAAAGACTTTTTAATTTTTAAGTAGTCTCTACACCCAATGCAGGGCTCAACGCAGCAGCCTCAACATGGAGAGTTGCATGCTCCACAAACCACGCCAGCGAGGCACCCCCGATGATACATTTTGAGCTAATTTTTGTGTATGGAATAAGAAAGGGATTCAACTTTATTCTTTTGTAGGTGGATATCCAGTTGTTTCTGTCTTGAAAATGTAGAAATAGTTCCATGCCAGTTAGTAAACCCCGCTGCCCTGAGATCCCCAAGTACCCCCTCTTCTGTTCTGGCTCTCCCCTGGGACCTCCCAGACATTCCCATGACTCACAAGCTGACCTGTCAATGCCTGGCGCAGCAGGAAGCCTCAGGACCCTGCCAGTTCTGATGCTAGTGAGGTCCCAGGTGTTAAATAGTTTGAATGTCACACCTATGTGTTGGTGTTATGACACGTTCTCAGGGTTGGTGATACTAATATGGACACAGAGCAGTCCTATAACTTGCTATTAATAATCCTGTAGGGTAGCTCCAGGAAGTGTTGCTGGAACAAAGAAATGCCAGTGTTCTGTAACCATCCCGCCAGTGAGGAGCGGAACACGAGCAGATCCTGACTCAGAACAAGCTTCGCGGTGGCTTGTGAGCCAAAGACCTCGGTGGCAGCAAGGTAAGGACATTCCACTGTGGTTTCTCCCCAGGCAGACGGGTAGGCCATCTTTTGCTCTCATCCCAAACGTCTCATCTGAGGGCCTGGGAGATTATCCCAGGGGGTTCCTCCAGGAAGGACTCCCAGATTCTCCCTCGGCAGAGTGAGTTCAACCACCCACAACTTTGTGGGATGGACGAATCTTCTTTCTTGGATGGGCGGAATGGTGGAGACAGCTTCCCTAGAAGCTCCTAGTTGACAGATCCGTCCACGCTAGCTGTGGTGTCTCCTACTCCCTGGTCACAGCTTGCCACTGACAGACAGGGACACCGCCTCCCCATCAGACAGGCACTGTCTCTGCCCGCCTTGCGCCGCCTTCTGCTCAGCCCCTCTCCCCTGCAGTGTATTTGTCCCACATTTCTGGATAATTACGTTTTTGGGCAATGGCCCTTCCGCGTGCTGCGGAACAAGCGGTTGAGCCTATGGCCTTTTCCCAAGTACTGTTTCCAGCCAGGCCGTGCCACCTTTTCTTGTGCTGTGTTCCAGGACACAAAAGGTCAGGAGCCTTGCCGGGAGGACAGAGCCCGGTGTGGAGACCTCCTGGCCTGGCTGTTATGTGGACAATAAAGGGGCATCTTAGGGAAATCAGTGAGCGCACGTGACGGGGTTCCCCAGCCTTGTCTGACCTCACAAACAGTCCCGACTGCACCTTAGTATTTGGGGGCTTGGGAGGAGCTGGTATATATTTAGGGTGCTCAGGTATGGCGGGGAAGTGGACACAGGTCAACTACAAATGGAATGACTGTTGCCTTCAAACCATAGTCTCTTGCTGACTTTGCATGAGGACAAGTCCCTGTCACATGGCTGGCCTGAACCAAGAGTAGCTCTTACCATCTTTTTAAAAAAAAATTTTTTTTAACATTTATTTCTGAGAGACAGAGAGACAGAATGTGAGCAGGGGAGGGGCAGAGAGAGAGGGAGACACAGAATCCGAAGCAGGGCTCCAGGCTCCGAGCTGTCAGCACAGAGCCCGACACAGGGCTCGAACCCACGAACCGTGAGATCATGACCTGAGCCGAAGTCGGATGCTTAACCGACTGAGCGCCTCACTCTTACCATCTTTCCCAGTGCTTATACTTCAGTGCTCACTTTGGCACCACATGTATGAAAATGCGATGATTATGCTTTATAATTAACTGTGCTTAAACCTGTTATACTTTATAATTATTAAAATGTTATAAAATTATATTTATAATTAGATGATTTAATAATTCTTATTCTGTAAAATATTTGCAAAAGATTTCCCTAATGACCTGAAAGGAAGTGAGGAGAAGCCTAAGTGTATCACAGCAGCGCAAAGCAGCAAGGTGGTCCAAGAATATTGGCCGAGTACTCGCTAATCCAAGGCCCTGGGATACACGCAGCACCAAGAGAATCCCCAGCCCAAAGGTGCATCCCCCAGCTCAGGTTCAAGTGTAAGAGGGGAGGAGAGGTAGAGAAATGATGGAGAGAAAGGGGGATGCCAAGCTCTAAAGTTCTACCAACTTTAAGCAAAATGTGAGTCCCCGGAAGGCCCCCCAGGCCAACCCATTCTTCTGTCCTTTGTTGTTCCCCCAAGACATTGGGATCCAGCTCTTGTTGACCCATGCCCTCAGGTTTCTTTTCTTTTCTTTTTGAGAGAGAGAGAGGGAGAGGGAGTGGGGAGAGGCAGAGAGTAAGAATCCCAAGCAAGCTCCACACTGGCAGTTCAGAGCCCGACGTGGGGATAGAACTCACGAACTTCGAGATCAAGACCTGAGATGAAATGAAGAGCCAGAAGCTTAACCGACTGAGCCACTCAGGTGCGCCCCTCCACCCCAGGTTCCTTGAGTCATGTCACCAGACCTCCATCAGTACCCAGAAGTATCCCAGGAGGTATCAAGACCACAGGACCCATGGCGGCTCTGAATTATCCACTCCATCTGAAGATCTTTTTATGAAAAACTACTTTATAATAAGGCAAAAAGGCAAATGTCATGGGGTGAGATGCAAACCCCTAAAGAAGACAAAAAAAATAAGACTAAGCACTCTTAGTGCTCCACTTTGCATCTGACCTCAGATTCTTTGGGTGTGTTTTCACTCAGCTCTTTTCCTAGGGATACTCAGGTGGGAAAGCTCCAGAAGTTGAGGCATGATCCAGGCATGATCAGATGCCATCTGCTGGGCCAGGAAGGGCTGACATGGTCTGCCTTCATGCAGTCACCAGCCTGCAAGCCTGGCCTCCAGTGAAGTGGCCGGCTGCTCTCCCTTCTCACCTGCCTCCCACACCTCTTTGCAGATCTTCTTCCCCTCTCCCCTCCCGCACCACTCCCACGTAGTAGACTGTGGGATTGAATTGCTTACGTCGGCCCTTTTTATGAAGGTTACAGCTTCACTTTCTTCAAGGGACCCCTCTTCCTGCCACACCCCTGGCCATTGTGATTGGCCCAGCCACAAACACGTGACACAGTTGAGCCAATCAGAGCCCTTCCTTGGGATTTTACAACTGAAAGTAACTAACAGAAATCATTTCTTTTTCCCTTTGGATCACCAGCTCTAAGGCCATGGGCACAGAGTAAATGATGACCATGTACCTGCCACTTGGAGAAGTCTGAGAGAAAGGGCAACACTGAAGCAGAAATAAAAGAAAGAAATGAAAGAAAGAAATGAAAGAAAGAAATGAAAGAAAGAAAGAAAGAAAGAAAGAAAGAAAGAAAGAAAGAAAGAAAGAAAATACTGAAATTAAAAAAAAAGAAAGTCCTGATGCTTGATGCTTTCAAGTCCTTGGTCTTTGTGAGGATTTAATGAGTTAATGCAAGTGCTGAGCTCATAGCATGTGATCAGTAAATACTAGATGTTATTATTATTATTCCACTCTTGTCTCCCCCACTTACATGAAACAATAAAGACTTTTTTAGAAAAGACTGTTGAACTGGGTTTCCATCTCTGACACCCAGGCACCCAGCCTCTCAGGATCTCAGGAACATCTTTTCTTAGAAGGGAAAGCAGGTGCTAAATTAAGTTCACACAGACGTGTCAGTGACTGCAGTGGCCAGGCTCCAAGATGGCCCCGATGATCTTTGCATTTTGGTATTCACGCTCTTTAATAGCTCCCTCCGTACTGAAGAGGGCTGATTAGTGTAACTTCAGTAGGATATTGCAGAGAAATGACAAAGTGTGACTTCTGAAGCTAGGTAAAATAAATAAATAAATAAATAAATAAATAAATAAATAAATAAAAGGCTGTGCCTTCTGTCTCACTCTCTCTGGGGTCACTTGCTGTAGGAGCAGACGGCTGCCATGTTTTGGGCATTCAAGAAGCCCTGTGGACAGATTCACATGGCAAGGATCTGAGGATTGTTGCCCACAGCTGTGTGAGCAACCCATCTTGGAACTGGACAGTCAGACCCTACAGCCTGTCTGAAATCTTGACTGCGACCCCACGAGACACCTCAAGCCAGAGCTACCCAGCTAAGCTTCCCACGAAATTTGGATGCGCAGAACGTGCTTATTTCATACCGCTATGCTTTGGCGGGATTTGTTATGTAGCAGTAGATAATGAACACAGACCTTCATGCGGACTCCCCCTTCTCTTCAGGAGATGCACCCGAGTTTCGTGGGGGTCAGCTGTGAGGCACACTGCAAGAAATCAGCTACTATTAACAAAGCCTACATTTTCTCGGTGCATATACCCCCGTGCTGTGAAATATCTAGAAAGCTTGTAGGCAGAGGCTGTGGCCCAGTGTCACTCACAGCCAACCCTGAACATGTTTAAAGATAGGGGAGGGCACAAAATATGTCTTTCATCCTGGTAACTTCAGCTGCGGGTCAACACCGGGCACCTTCTCCCTTGACCTCTCTCATTCCTTCCTCTCCTCCTCCTTGCCCCACTCTCCTTTCTGAATCCTCCGTCCTGCCCCTCACATGGAGGTCCAAGTCTCAGAGACTGTTCAGGAACATTCCATTCTGGAAGGGCCACATGTTTTACTGAAGAGCACGTGGACTGGTGTTTCTCATGCTTCAATGTATGCACACATCATGCAGGGGATCCTTGGAAGATGCAGATTCTGATCCAGTGGCTCTGGGAGCGGCCTGAGGGTCTGCATTTCTAACAAGCTTCCGAGATCGGGGAGCACATGCTGAGTAGAAAGATCTGGAAGGCAGATTAGCCTTTCTTTTGCTAACATGGATGGACTCTTCCAGCAAAACGCTGGTGTGCAACTCTACAGAGAACCCCTTTCCACCAGGACAGAAGGTGAGAAGGAATTGAATGAGTGGACGGAGATTCTCACCCTGTCCTGTACTTATTAAAATCTTTAAATTTATTTTAGGGGGGCCTGGGTGGCTCAGTCGGTTAAGCGTCTGATTTCGGCTCAGTTCATGATCTCACAGATTGTTGGTTCGAGCCCCGCGTCAGGCTCTGTGCTGATAGCCAGCTCACAGCCTGGAGCCTATTTCAGATTCTGTGTCTCCCTCTCTCTCTGACCCTCCCCTGCTCATACTGTCTCTCTCTCTCTCTGTCTCAGAAATAAATAAAACATTTAAAAAATTTTTAAATTATTTTTATTAAAAATTTTTTAATGCTTATTTATTTTTGACAGGGAGTGACAGACTGTGAGTGGGGGAGGGGCAGAAAGAGAGGGAGACACAGAATCAAAAGCAGACTCCAGGCTCTGAGCTGTCAGCACAGAGCCCGATGTGGGGCTCGAACTCACAAACCGCAAGATCGTGACCTGAGCTGAAGTCAGATGCTTAACTGACTGACCCACCCAGATGCCCCCCCCCAATTTTAATTTAAAGGCAAAAAATGCAAGGTCATCCCTGTGACACATGTGACAGCCGGTCACATGCCCTCTCATTTCACTGGCTTCGTGGCAGCAATGGCAGGCTGCAGTGGGAAGGGGTGTGTCGGGGCTACCCAGGGTCCTGGCCCATCCAAGACAGGTTCAGGCCCAAGGGTATCCGGTAGGCAGGTGGGGCAGGAGCAAAGCAGTGTCACAGCTGACCGGCTGTCCACCCCAAATTTCACTGCACGAGCAAGGGGCAGACTCCAGAGCTCATGAATACTCTGATCAGAATGCTGGCTCTATCCCCTATCGGCCTCATTGAGTGGCTGAGTTTGGGTGTAACCTATCTAACAAATGGGGACAGTCATACCGATTGCCCAAGGCTGGTGGGATAATTAATACAAATAATATAAGTAAATTTATGAGGTAATTCATATGCACGAGGCAAATCCTTATGTACACACACTGTCCCAAGTGCAAGTTAGCTCATTTAATACTCTCAACAGCCAATGAGGGTGGTAAAATTATAATCACTCTTTCTGTGTTATGAGGGAGCAAAGCTCAGAGAGGTGTAGTCAGTGGCTCAGGGTCACACTGAGCTGGGCTTGGATCCAAGGCAATTTGATTGCAGGGCCCACCCTAAGGGGCATGGTGCCCCACACACAGGTACTCGAGGACTCTCTGTGGTGTCAGGGAATGAATTAATGAATGCTGTAAGATCCAGGGAAGTAGCTTTCTGTCTGTCTGTCTGTGTCTCACACACTCTCTCAGGCATTCCTGTTATTTAAAAACAAACAAACCAAAAAAGGTTTTTGAAGAGCTGATACATTCACACGGATCAAAAGGAGCAAATGGACAGAGACTGAAAAATATTCCTCCTGTCCTTGACCTTCTGGTGCCCGGGTCCCTTCCTTCAGGCAACCACACCAGCTCCTTATACAAACAAATGTATATTACCCTTTTCATTCAGACAGGAGCATCCCCTATGGAATGTTCTGGAATGTTCTGCCTGGTACCAGAAGAGTCTCTGAAGCTGAACTTCTCTTTAAGCCTTAATTTCTTCAGTGGGTTCCCCCGAGCAGGAGGTGTGAACATTAACTAAAATTCACGGAAAGTGGTGAGGGCAGTGAATGGTTAGGCCTACGGAATAGTAAGCCCTGAACCCCATTTCATTTGTTTTGCTGTATTTTATTTATTTTTTAATTTTTTAGGTTTATTTATCTCTTTTGAGACAGAGAGAGAGTACGTGTGGGGGAGGGGCAGAGAGAGAGCAGGGGAGAGAGAGAGAATCCCAAGCAGGCTCCATGCTGTTGCTGCAGAGCCCGATTCGGGGCTGGAACTCACGAAAGTATGAGATCATGACCTGAGCCGTAGTCAGACACTTAACCGACTGAGCCCCCAGGGGCCCCCGTTTCTCATTCTCCACTCTGGCCACTGAGGCCAACACCTGGCCCTCGAAGGTAATGAGACTCCCGTCGGTGTGTGTATACAGATAATGAGCCATTAGCCCCAAAGACAAGGAGGGAGGGAGGGAGGGAGGAAGGAGGAAAGAAAAACACGGACAAAGGAAACTGCAAAGCCACTCCAAAAAAATAGAGACGGAGGCTCCCGCACACCGCGCAGGCCACTCACTCCGTCGAAGGCCTCGGCAGCACGGAGGCCGACACCGTCTGGGCTCAGACACTTCTCAATGCGCTTGCATCAAGTCCAGCAAAGTGGGGCGGGAGAAGAGGAGTAAGTTGGGTTGGTTCACACAGAGCCTCCAGATTCCGTGTTACAGTGACAAATTATGTACAAAGCCCGGAAAACACAGCCCCGTTGAGTCTGGGCCTCTCATTCCAGAGGTGCGAGGAAAGGGGAGCGGGGCGTTCATCCTGTTAAATTTGTGGAGTGACACATTCCGGGGCCTGGGAGGGGGGGCCCAGGTGGCCCGGGCCCCAGGTGGCCTGCCCGGCTGGCCCGGGCCTCCCCGCTCCAGGCCTCAGGCTGGCAGGACTGTCCCGGGCCAGCAATCTGGGCCTGTGGTGGCTGTCCCTTGCTATTGTGAATTCATTTCTCCCCTCCTGGCCATCAACATCTCATTAAAAACAAAACAAAACCAAACAAACCCATAACGTTAAAACCATAGTAGCGTCATTTTAATCGACGCACATTTTAGCACCGTTCCAAAGATGTTTTCAAATTACCCCTGGAAACTCCCGCTATCTAAGAATTATCAGAAAAAAAGAGAGAGGAAAGAGAGAGAGAGAGAGAGAGAGCAGGAAAGAAAAAAAAAAAAGCCCACAAGAGGCAGGGAGGCCGTGCTTTGTCAGGGAGAAGGAAATAAAGAGAAATCAGCCCGGCTTCAAAGGGCGCATTTCCATAATTGCCCTGTAACTTTAGCAAAATAAATCTGAGCGGCTGGGAAAAGCACAATCTCTCAGATGAGTGAACTCCAAAGGCCCCGGAGGGCTGTGGGCCCACTTGTTAGCGGCCGGGAGCGGCGGGAGAATGCGGGGCTCGCCGCCGGCACAAAAGCCATGAAATCACAGCCTGCCCGTCCTAGACGGGCCCGGCCGCCCGAGTCACACCTTCCCCTGCTTGTGTCTCCCTCCTGCTCCCTGACATGGGACACACACACCCATGCACACGGGGGCGCGCACACGCACACGGACACCCCCGGGTAAAACAGGCGAGTAAATAAATAGACGCATTTAAGTGCAGGAAGGGCTGGCAGCAGTTAAGAGGTGGCGATAATTACGAGGCAAAAAACCACAGGAGCTGGGCTTTCATCTGGGAGAAGGTTCCCGTAACCTGCTCCTGATATAAATATCCAGGGAGCAAGGCCTCAACTTTCCAGACACACATCCTCTTTGGAGAAG